CCGTACAGAACCTTGGTGGATCCAGGGAATGGGGAGGACAGAGACCAGGAGAGGTGACATGCATGAGTACCTCCCCAGCAACAACAACCCTCTTACCATAGTGGGACGTCTAGGCCACAGATAGTCATAGGACCACCTCAGCAGCCCAGTAAGAGACACCTCACTTTTCAGGTGAGAAAAGAGATTCAGGCCATCAAGAGATATACAGGAATATATGGCTAGTCAGCAATGGGGTCAGGACTCAAACTCAGCTTTTCAGGATTGAGGAAGACTGGAACATTGGGGGAAGATTTTTTTTTTTTTTTAGGATTTGGGTGAAGATTTACAGAGTAAATTCACTTTTCATACAGCAGTTCACATATACTTTGTCTCATGTCATTGACCAAAATTTACAATGCAGCAGCTCCCCTCCCACTTCCTCCCCATAGTTACCTCCTCCCAGTGTCTATCCCTTCATACTCTTCTGCACCCTGAGCTATCTCCCTGTGCATAAGCAGCCCTTCCTTCTCCCATGACCGTTCTCTCCAGGGCATGTGTCTACTTGAGGTAAATGTTTAACTCACCTGCCTGTACTTTGTTTGGCTGGAAACCACAGTTGTGGGTTCAGTTCCAGACCTGAAGGGCAGCTAGGGACCATAGTCTCAGTGGTTACACCAGGCTCTATTGGACCAGTAAACCTGGTCCCCAAGTTCTTTTTTTTTTTTTTTGCCTCCAAATGATTTTGAGTTTTGTACCACATTGTTCTCCCTCTTTATGCAGGATCTCCTACATCCCTTCCAAGTGGATGGCAGTGGTAGCTGGGCACCATCTGGTTCTTCTGGTCTCATAGTTGTATAGGTTGCAGATCGGATGGTGTACCAGTCGCTAGGACTGATTGTTTCCATTAATTTTGGTTTTCTTCTTTCTTCTTGACGAGGAGAGACCCGTTGTTGCATCTAGATGGCAGCTTCCTAGCTTTTAAGGTCCCAGTCGCTACTCGCCAAAGTAGTAGGTGGAACAATGTTTTGTATAGTATGTTATGCCAGTTGAACTTAATGGGGGGAAGATTTTTTAAAACATTACTATTTTGTCTTATTTCAAAAGTAATTGTGTTAGGCTGGGTTCTCTAGAGAAGCAAAACCAGTAAAACTTACAGAGAGAGAGAAAAAATAATTTATCTTAGGAAAATGGCTCACACACTTACAGAAGCTGGCAAGTCCCAAGTTCCTGGATCAAACGTCAAACCAGAAGCTTTTCCCGACTCAGCTGCAGGGGCTGATGATCTCAAGGTTGGCAACCAGTATCCTGGCTGTGGACTCCAGTGAATGACGAATCCAAGATCACCAGGCCGAGTGGTGGATTGTTGGCTCATGGACAGTTTGTAGGCAGCACACCAGGATCCAGATCCACAGAAGAGTGTCCTACGTTCCTAGGATGTCCATATATATATTGGAAGCAGGCCATACCCCTAGGGAAACTCCGTTTCAGTGGATTAGCTGCTCAAAACATGTACATCTGATCTCATCATGGGAATAACCACATCACAACTGCTTAAACCACTCAGAATCATGGCCCAGGCAAGTTGACACACAACTCCAGCTATCACAGTAATATGTGTGAAAATATCACTATTATAAAAATAAAGGAGTTAGATAGTACAAGTCATTCCGCAACCAATATAGAGATCCAAAACAGCCAAACCTGTTGCTGTTTGAGTCAGTTCCAACTCAGAGTAACCCTGTAGGACAGAGTAGAACTGCCCCATAGGATTTCCAAGGCTTCATCTTTAAAGAAACAGACTGCCACATCTTTTTCCTGCAGAGTGGCTGGTGGGTTCTAACTGTTCATCTTTTGGTTAGCAGACAAGGATTTACATTACACCGCCAGAGCCACTCCTACTGCCATCAAGTTGATTCTGACTCATAGTGACCCTATTGGACAGAATGGAACTGCCCTCATAGGGTTTCCAAGGCTGGAAATCTTTACAGAAGCTGATTGTCATCTTTCTCCCCTAGAATGGCTGGTGGCTGTTAACCTTTTGGTTACCACATGCCTTAACACCCTGCCACCAGAGCTCCTTAATACAGAGATAATCATGTTAACGGTTTGCTGTGTTCTTCCACATTTTTCTACATATTTTCTAGTATTTATATTTATCATTGTTGTGACAAATATAACATGTAAGCCTACTGTAATTTTCTTTTTAAAAATACTCTCGTAAAAGTAGTATCCGCGTATTACAAAACATTAAAACAGACTAAATCTTATTGCCATCGAGTTGATTCCAACTTGTAATGATCTTATAGGACAGAGTAGAGCTGACACATAGGGTTTCCAAGGCTGTAAATCTTTCTCTCTCAGAGCAGCTAGTGTATTTGAACCGCCAGCCTTTCAGTTAGCAACTGAGTGCTTAACCACTGTGCCACCAGGGCCACTTTTAAAATAAGAAAAGAATGGAAAAACTCTGTCCTGTCACAATCCTAGAAATAACAGTTGATGGTTTAATGTGTGCCTTCTAGACATTTTCTTTGCATATGTATGTATGTACCTGTGCACATGCTGTGTTTTTATCCAAATAAGTTCATATATGTACTCTTTTGTGACCTGACTTTTCTTTTAGAAAGGTTTAGTATAGAAATTTTTAAACACACGGTAATAGACCAGTGCAGCAAACCCCAGTTTACCACCCATCTTCAGCATTCGTCACTTTCCTGTCGTGCTTGTTTCATTTGTTTTTCTCTCCACTGTCATTTTTCCCCCTGGAATATTTTAAAGCAAATCCCAAATATCTTATCTCTTCCTTCATGAATTCTTAAATGTGGATCTTTAACAAATGAGCATTTAAAAAAAAAATTGCACAATGTTACTATCACACCCAACAAAATTTACTAATTCCTTAATGTCAACAAATACCCAAGCTGAATCTAACTTAGTCACTCATCTTAGCAAGTGGTTCCAGTGAGATCCACACGGTGCGGATGATTGTTCTGCTTCGTCTCAGTCTGTAACTCCCCGAGGCCCCCACACTCCCACTGCTCATGCTGTTTATTTTTGGAAGAATCTGGGTTATTTGTCCCGGAGAGAGTCTTACGTCTGGATTTGCCTGATTCATAGAGTTGTTCACACGCTCATCTATCCCCATGTTTTCTGTAAATGGGTAATTCATTTTAGAAGCTTGATGAGCACGTATGTTTGGAGGTGAGAACACTTGATTGGTAGTGCAGCCGACTCTCGTTAACATCACATCAGGAGTTGGTCTCACTTGTAGTAACGTTAAGGTTGATCAGTGAGCTGAACTCAGTTTGATGGTTGTCTTTCCACATCTGTGTGTGTAAATCTTGATTTTAAAGATGCTTTTTTCAAAACGAAGAAACATACTTGAGTTAGGTGTTTGGGATACTTCAGCTAAAATAACGAGCAAGGGCTCATATGTGAGAGGGGAGAAAGCAGGAGGTTGGGGGAAGGTCTCGGAGCCAAGGCCAGCCAGGCACTGGTGCTGCCACAGCAGCAAGCTGCCCTTCTGGGACATCACGTAAAATGATGTAACTGAGTGAAAAAGTGGCGGTGAATGACCTCCTCTCCCTGCTCCAGTCACTGAGCTGTGTTATGGTAAGGGAGCTGCGTTATGGTATAAGGGACGTGCATGAGCTGGGAGTTAAGTCTGCATCAGAAGGAAGAGTCTTCTGGTCTGAGAAGACCACGCACGACTTTCTGGTCTTTATCTCCTTGTACATTGGAAGCTCAAATCAGAGTGGTTCTGGCCTTTCAGTGGTGAGTCCCAGTCTTGAAAGGGAGCCGCTGGCTTTGAAGGGGGATTGAGTGAGATGACCTGGTACAACACCGTCTCAGCTAGAGGGGGCAAGCTTGGCTCAGAGACTGAAGGGAAGTTTCTTAAACCACCTAGCAGGCTGAGGCCAGCATGCAAGGCTCCGGTTCTCTGACTGTGGTACCCAGCCAGCATTCCGAGTACTTGGGATTTCTGAAATGGTGAGGGTGGCCAGATCGGGCCCCTGACAGATTCTTAATCTGCACCCTCAGTTTCTGGATATTACTGGTGTGTTGGTCTCTTCTTCCTTGTTGGACTCTTGGCCCGGTTTTCTGACTTGGAGGTGATAGTGAGCAACACTGTTTCTACCAGCATTTGGGGACTAGCTTGGTGTGCGGTTGTACAGTTGTTTGAATACAAATTGACATCTGGAATCCCAGTCTTAGCTCCACACCTGTCAGCGAGCTGAGTGATCTTGGGCCTCAGTTCCCTGAAGAGATTGAACGAGATGAGGTTTCCCCGAAGCATGTGTGAGTAGGCCAGATGTTGTTGTCAGGGGATAGGAAGATGAACAGCATTTCCCACGTTGCATTTATAGTGACCTGTCACTTACGATGAATACTACTCATTTTCCATTTAATAAGCTTTCTTTTTAATGAATTGAGGCTAAACTGTTGATAGATTTAAACAAAGTAAGATAGGTAGTGTTCTGACACGGCAAAAGATTGAAGTGTAGAAGACAGTGGGCCAAGGGACCTTTCTGACCCTTCCCAGTGCTGACCTTTCACCGTCACAGAATCTGCTGTATATTTGGGCATATTCCAGGCATAAGCTCCTGGCCTGAGCAGATTCACCCATCAGTAGAGAGGCCACCCCAGCTAGAATACAGCCTGGACGTGCAATGTGATTGAGCATATACTTAACACCTGGGGTGGTTATCGTAGGAGAGTGTAAAGGCAAGGGAGACAAGGTCCTAGTTTCCATGGAGAGCCGTGTCGAGCCTGCTGTGGATTTGTGCAGTTTAGATATTTGTATGGTACAGTCTGGGCTGTGTTCAGGGGAAGTCTCTGAGTCATTGTCCTCCAGCCAGTGCTCTACAGCCGTCATCTCTGCAGCCTCTAGAAAGTCTGCTCAGGGGTCAGTCGTGGTCTCGGCTTCTGGAGCTGAGAGATGGGGATGTTGGTACCAAAGGTGGAAGAAGTGGGCTGTGGAAATGGGCGATTAAAGGCTGTTTGCCTTTCAGGATTTCCTGAAGATTCTCCACCTCAGAGCCTTGCTAACAGCGAAGGATGGCAAGCAAGGGGCCCTCAGCCTCCACGTCCCCTGAGAACTCCAGTGCCGGGGGGCCCAGCGGGAGCAGCAACGGTGCTGGCGAGAGCGGAGGGCAAGATAGCACCTTCGAGTGCAACATCTGCCTGGACACAGCCAAGGACGCTGTCATCAGCCTGTGTGGCCACCTCTTCTGGTAGGTACCCTCACCGTGGCCCCGCAGGACACGCTGCCAAATTTAGAAAGCCTGTGCCCTGGGCGGATTTGGAGCACCTTGAGGCTGAAAGCTCTCAGGCCCGAGAGGCAACAGACCCAAGTTTATACCCCAGCTGTGCTGCTTCTGAGCTGAGTGACCCTGGACACCCAGGTGTCCCCGCCCTGGCCTCCAGCTCCCCATCTGGGATGGAAGCAGGTAATAAATGAGCACCTCTTGCATGCTAAGCGGAGAAGCCGGACAGGCAGGTTGTGAGCAAGAACTGTGGAGCCAAGCTGCCTCTTTACGACTCCTGAGCCTGCCCCTTCCTCCCTGGTGCACCTCAGTCAAGGGACTCACTCTGTGCCTCGTTGGACAGTGTGGTTTATGAATATTAAGTGACTCAACATAATGTAAAAGACTTAGAAGAACAAGTAGCACATAGTAAATACTGCGTGTTCAGTGTTCGTCACAATCATCATAACTGGTACTAGGTTTCATGTACATCAGAATGAACGGAGCCAGTCAGTGCCCATGCCAGTCTCAATGGTTACAGAGGCCCCTCCTGGCTCTGAAAACCTGGGTAAATGCTAAGGTTTATTTTTTCTTTTGAGATTTTTGAGTTGGCCCTTGAAGGGTGGCTTTGGGTCAGGCAAAAGGTATGTTATTACCCCTAAGGCAGGGAGTTTAATTTGGCAACAATGTGAAAGATAAAACATAAATTCATTGATGAGTAAATAAAACGGAGCAGAAGCCCTGGCACCTAATCATTAAGTTTTAAGCAGAGACTGTTACGATCAGCCCTGCCCTAGAAGCTGGAGATACCCTGGGGTATCATAAAACCAGTGCTTGAAATGAGGGACGGAATGAAGAACAAAGACAGGCGTGATACCGTTAGGAAGAGTACAGACTCTACGATGAAACAGGACGTTTCTAGTCCCTGGGCCAAGCTGCTAGCCTCTCTGTACCTTGTGTATAGAATGGAGGTTCATGTGACCCCTCGTAGGTTCATGCCACCATTCAGTGATATTAGCAAATGAAAAGCTATTCAGCCACAGCTGGCATGTATTAGGTGCTTAATAAGTGGGAGAAGTCACCACCATTGTCATAACCCAGAGAGTTCTATGAGCACTGTTCAGTCACTTTCACTTCCCACCCCCCACCCCCGACAGCCTTTGGGGGAATTTTCCAGTGAGCTCTGCCGTGGTTTGGGGTGCTCCCAGCTCAGCTTAGAACAGTGATGCCCAGTTAACAGCACCTAACCAGATGTTAGGTGTCTGTTCTGACCAGGGAGATTGTGTATCTATCTGATTTGTGAGGCTACACTTCTGCGGAAAGAAACCGTCCCGCCTCTGAGTCTAAATTGTACTCAGCTAGAAAAGATGCTCGTTACGTGAGGGACCGGACCCATGTCTGTATTTCCCACCGTCCTGGCACACAGTCGTAGACATTACAGGCCTTTTGAGTCTAAGCAGTGCTGGGTGATAGAAGGGGAGGACTGGACGTGGGGACAGGTGAGAGACTGGACAGCAGTCTTGGAGGTGTGATGCACAGTGAACCACGGTGAGCCCTTTCTGCCCAATAGCATCTCCGTCTTTCTTATTCCTTCCTTGAAGAGGTTTTCAGAGTAGACTTAACCTTCTAAGCTCATTCCTGCCAGCAGAGCTCTCAAGGCTGAGAACAGCCTGAAAACTTTGTGAAAAACTGGATCTGGGCTGCCTGGTCGTCCACACATCCCTTCTGAGCCTGCGGAGGCTGTGACTCCTCTGTAGGCAAGAGTAGAATTGCGCGCCATGCTAGAGAATGCGCCCAAGGGTCTTTCTGCACAGAGGGTCCTTCGTTTTTATTGAATTCCATCAGAGGCTATAGCTCCCGCAAAGGTGACCATGTAGGGAAGCAGGATCTGCGATCGCCTGGGGCCTGGGAATCTCCAGGTAGGCAGGATCCCAGGAGTGGGCACTGAGATCCTGTCTCCATTGCCTTGTTTTTCCTGTGATTTTAGTTCAGTTTTGCCATTCATATTGCTAATTTCCAGCACCCTTTAGCCTCAAGTGCCGCAATGAGGGTGGCTACAGGAGTTGAGCTAACTCCCCGAGGCGAATTACAGCTCTCCATAGTTTTACCCTGTTTTCGTATTTGGCTGCCCCGACCCACCATCAGCGTTTCTGCTAATGAAAGCATCTTTCTTCCTTTTCCCCCTTCTTCTTGATGACTGGTTGCCCTTGGGACTCTTGACAGTTGGCCGTGTTTACATCAGGTAAGATGCATTTTGTTTTACTTTGTCTTTCATCAGCTAGGGTTGCACAATACACCCCTGGTCTCAAGAGACTGCTGTCAGAAGCTGCAATCTCCCCTGTTTGTGGGCTCATTTGCTTACTTACCCTTCAACCCTCTTGACAGGTCTGCCACTGACAGGCACTTGATGAAATAAGGTGCCAGTATGGCATCCTAGATGGTCCTGACTCTGATACCAGTGGCCTGTGTGGCTTTGCAGGCCACCACCTCTCTAGGTCTCGATTCTTCATTTATAAATGGAGTTGGGTTTGATGGTATATTAGGTCTTTTCTTTTTGTGAGACTCTGCCTCTATAAAAACTATCTTCTATTATATCAGTGGGAGCTCTGGTGGCCCAGTGCCTAAGGCATTTGACTGCTAACCAGGAGGCTGGCTGTTCAAACCCACCAGCCACTCTTCAGAAGGAAGACTGGTCTGGTCAGTCTGCTTCCATAGAGATACCACTTTGGAAACCCAAGGAAGGCTTGCTATGAGTTGGGTTCGATTTGACTTGAAGACACTGAGTATCATATCAGTGGGAGCTCTGGTGACGTAATGCCTAAGGCATTTGACTGTTAACCAGAAGGCTGGTGGTTCAATCCCACCAGCCACTCCTTGAAAGGAAGATTAGGCAGTCTACTTACATAGACATACCGCTTGGGAACCTCAAGGAGGGGTCCTTATGAGTTAATCGACTCAATGGCAGTGAGTTTGCTTTTGGATTATATGAACACATACTCCCTACCCCCACCCCGTCCCCACCCACCCGCACCCCGCCATCTTAAAGGTTGTAAAAGTGTTAGGAAGAGAGACTTTTTGGTATTAACAAAGAGCTTTTGTGAAAAAAAATAAGTCTGTTTTCTAAGCTTTAGATTATTACGCAAACCAGTTCATATTCACAGAGACCCAGGCCCCAGGTGCCTGCTTGATGATACCGAGCTGGCCTGGAGGTCACAGTTGGCTGTGAATAACCACTGAGCACCGGCTGACTGTGCAGCTGTCAACAGTTGAGACCCACGCTCCTGGGTAGCTTAGGAATGTTGGGGGAGGACGGTGTTCCAGGCCTCTAGGGTCCCAGTACCTGGATGGGAGAGGGACAGCAACAAAGAGGTATGCCTGTGTTGTCCTGGCTACAAGTTCTGACTCAGAGGGGTCTGGGAGAACACATCACCCGTGGGTTTATGAAGAGCATGTAGCGTGTCAGTTTCAGATACATCAGCTGTAAGATAAAGGAAGTAGAATACAAAATCATGCATTAGATGCTGCTGGAGGCCTAAGGTCCTAGATCTTGTTTCCAAGCATCAGATCATTGTGCCTAAAGATGCAGTTCAGGTTCTAAGATAAACAGAGATGTACACACAAACATATATATATACGGAGTCCCTGGTGGCAGATGGCACAAATGGTTAAGCACTACTGTGCAAATGGTTGGCCGTTTGAACCCACCCAAAGGTACCTCAGGAAACAGGCGTGTCGGTCTGCTTCTAAAAGGCCTCAGTCTTGAAAACCCTGTGGAGCAGTTCTGTTCTGCACACAATGGGGTTGCCATGAGCCACATGGTACCTAGCATCAACAACATATATACATGCACATACACACACACGCATACACACACATCCATAAAATTATCTGATGTCTATAGAGACCTTGTTAACTCAAAACCAAACTCACTGCCTTCAAGTTGATTCCGACTCATAGTGACCCCTATTGGGTTTCTGAGGCTGTAAATCTTTACAGAAGTAGATTGTTAGGAGCCGTCAAATCAGTTTTGACTCATAGCGACCCCACGTGGCAGAGTACAGCTGCCCCGTAGTGTGTCCAAGGTGGCGATCCTCGCTGAAACAGACTACCACGTCTTTCTCCCATGGAGCCACTGAAAGGGTTCAAACCACCAGCCTTAGGTTAGCAACCAAGCACTTAACCGTTGGGCCATCAGGGCTCCTTTATAACGACGTGACAGGTGATATATTTTTATTATTATTTCTGTTTTCAAGAAAGTTAAAATAATGTAACCAGTGAAAAGGCCTGAGAAATCTAAAACGGGACTCTGGGGGTTTTTAATAATAGTTAAGTGCAAAAATCAATGAAAGTACATAAAAACATTGAGCATATTTAAGAGGATGAGCAGGGTGTGTATCCTTTAGCATGTAGTAAATGACCAGAGAGATGAGATCACCAAGAGAAGGAAATGGCTACTATGGGAGAACAATTGGTCCATCAGGAAAGGTGGGGATTTCAAGTTCATTACACCTGCAGCAGCAGCCTGAGTAAACTGAGGCCAGGTCTGTTAGACTCCTGGCTGTAGCCTCAGGGTTGTGAGTCTTTCCTGCTGTATTGCTGGGAGCCCCTAGAGAGAAACAAAGCATAAAGAAGCCTGTTTGATTGTGATGGTATTTAAACACAATTTTGATTTCCCCACTTGTAAATATTTGAGTGCCAGGAGCAGGAACCGAAGAGAGGCGGTTCCTTGATGTATTCCCTGGTTGTGCTGATGTTTCCTGGTTTGAGGTCCCTGGCACTCCTCTCAACAGCTGTGTTACCTGGCCTGCATCTGATGGACCTAGAGCCATTCATGGGTATCTCTCTTCTGTTTGCAGTGGCTGGAGACCAGACCTAACAGACAGGTGTGTCCGGTTTGCAAAGCTGGCATCAGCCGAGACAAGGTCATCCCGCTGTACGGCCGGGGCAGCACTGGGCAGCAGGACCCCAGGTGAGGGCTTGGGGCACCTCTCACATCCACTCTTGCCCTCGGACATGAATGCAGTTCCACTGAATAACCGCCTTTCCCAAGAGCTGGCTGAGCACTCAGTTCTGAGGCAGTTGGCCTCCATATGGGAGCGAGCCTGGAGGGAGAGGGGTCCACTTGCTGGGCTGTAACAGAGATACTACTGAGCATGTACCAGCAGGCAGGCACTGGGTTGAGCCCAAGACCCAGCCATGTATAAGACTTCACAGTTGTAAGTGTGTGAAGTGCTGTGGAGGGGCACCTGGGGAAATGGCCTGTACAGCCAGAGTGTCTGCAGGGAGCGTGATTGCTGCACAGGTGAAGGAGGTGTACAAAGTGCCAGCAGAGAAGGGGTGGGACCCTGGGAGGCTTTGTGGAGTTTGCGATGTCTAAAAATGGAGGTGTGAGTGGCTCCAGCATTCTACAAACACCAGTGCTGAGGGGTCCGGGTCCCTTGTGGTTTGGCACCTCTCAGCATGCACGTACACCAGACACATTAGACTTCTCTTAAAGGGATTTAACTTTTCACGTTGATGAGTTTTTGTCTTTTCTCTTTCCTGTCTCCCATTCTTCCCATTCCTGTTCATCCCACTCCCTCCTCCTCTCTTCTCCATATTAGTTGCTCTTAACCATGTCCCACCATACTTCCTCCATACCAGTTGTTCTGGTTACTTAGTGCCACAATTCCACCCCTTGTCAACTTGGTATCTGTACAGATCTTCATCGGGTAACATCTGTACAGCCCTCTCTCACTGGGTGGCTCTGGTCCCCTAGTTCCTCTAAGTGGCGACCTCACCCCCTTGGCCTGGCGGCCCCGTTCCTCTCCCTCTTGGTAATGGCAGCCCCATCCCTTCACTCTGGGGCAGCGGCTATGGCTCCATCCCACTGGCTCACATGAACGAGCAGCCCCACACTCCAGAACCAAGTTGGTGAAGGCCTTGCTCTTTGAAACTAGGTGGCTATGGTCGTTCCACCCCCAAAGGCCATGGTCCTACCCTTTCAGGCTAAGACAGCTTTGCTTCCATTTCCTTGTCTCTCCGCTTCTGCTGATTAATGCTGAAGGTAACCCACTTCACTGGAAAACTTTCTGCCCAGAAAGCACTTGGCTTTCTTGCTCTGTGGGCTGGCCAACCTGCTACTCCATTTTATGCAGGTCTTCTCTACCAATTCATGCCCGAAGGCAGTCCACTCCGCCAGGAAGCCATCTACCCAATGGCACTCGGCTTTCTCTTCCGTGGGCTGGTAAGCCTGTTGCTGTTCAGTGCAAGTCTCTGGGCTCTGCTCTTGCCATCTCTCATGCTGGTCTCTCTGCCAGTCTCTTGGCTCTGCTCCTGCCATGTTTCATGCTGTAAGTCAGGATCTCTCTGCCAGGGTCTTGGGTCAGGGACGCACTCCACTCCTGTTTCCACATTTCAGGTAGCAGCACCCCACTCTCTCGGTACCATATTCTGTTCTGGTTCCCTAGTACCACTCTGACAAAAATATACCGCAAATGGGATGGCTTTAACAAACAGGAGTTTATTCTTACAATTTGGAGGCTTTAAGTTCCCGTTCAAAGTGCCAGGCTCTAGGGGCTGGGTGAAAGCCCCTCAGCCTTGGTCTTTAGCTCTGCCTCCAGCTCCTGGCCCACTGAAGCTAGAGGCTTTTCTTCACTCAGACGGCTGCTGGCTGCTGAGGCTGCCAAGCCCAAGGTTGACAAGTGAAAAGGCACGGTCCTGATGTTACCAAACCATACAGCAGGTCATTAATTCAAGTCCATTGTAAATCCCAGGATTGGCAGAGCATGGCAAGCTGCTGAACAACAACACAGCTACATGCAGGGTCCTGGCGTGCCATAAGCTAGAGACCGTTCCCCAAGGCTTCTGCATATATGTGGGAAGCAGACCACATTCCCTAAGGCAGCTACTCAGCTGCTCACAGTAGATTCCACCATGGAGTTGATGACCAGTCTCATCATGGGAAATACTACATCCAGCTGCCCAGCCACTCACCCAGGCCCAGCCAAGTTGACACACCAACTGAACTACCACACCAGTATTAAAGAAATCCCTCCCCATACTGCATTGCCGTTTGCTCTATCCCCCTTAACCCACGAACACTTCAACGACAGGGTCTGTGTGTATTGTCTTACTGTTGGCAGCATCCCACCCAGTTACATGGAACAAGCCCTCAGTTCAGTATTTGTGGGATGAGTGATGGGAGGCTGAGACCCAGCAGCAAAAGGTACAGTGTGGGCTGTTTGCCTAAGCGTGGTCGGAGGTAAAGCTGAAGTTAGGTAGTGGCAGCACAGAGAGATCCTGAATCTCCACTTTCTCAGCTGACACGCTGCCCTCTGTTTCACTTTGGATTTGGGATTCCTGACATCTTTGCATCCATGATCCCTTAACACACAGGACCAGAACAGGTGTCGTAATCAGCCGGGATCAGGCTGTCTGGAAGAGGCAGAGACTGCAGTACAATGTGAAGAACATCTCACAACAAACTGGTTTTCTCTACAGTTAAGAAAAGCAGTTGCAGATAGAATGAAGAGTTAGCGTTTGGTTTAATTCAGCTTATGTTTGCGTGGACCAGGTGCTGTCTGGGTAGGGAACGTGGCCAAAGACAGAGGACCCGGAGCTGGGTGAAGAGCTTCCAGTCCATTCCATTGGAGCTGCTTTGAGAACAGCTCAAAGCAGATTGTAATAAACTTATTTCACACCATTTCTGTTTCAGAGAGAAGACTCCTCCCCGTCCTCAAGGTCAGAGACCAGAGCCAGAGAACAGAGGGGTAAGGAACATTCTAGGAGAAGCATCCAGAAGGGAGCCCATTCTAAAATTTCCTTCTTGGCCCTATGATTTTTCTCCCTAGTTACAAAAATAAAAGAAAATACCTAAAATGCAGAAAGGAAAAGCAGAAGAAAAGATCATTTATAATGATAGCTTCCAGAGATAACTACTAGAAATGTTTTGGTCTATTTTCTTCTTTTCTGACAGTCTGTAATAATATATACCAAACCAAACCCACTGCTGTCAAGTTAATCTAACTCATAACCCTATTGTATAGAGTAGAACTGCCCTATAGAGTTTCCAAGGTTGTAAATATTTACAGAAGCAGACTGCCTCATCTTTCTCCTGTGGGGTGGCTGGTGAGTTTGAACCACCAACCTTTCAGGTAGCAGCTGTGTGTTTTTAACCATTGTGCCACCAGGGCTCCTTATAATTACATATAAAACCAAAGCCAAACTCACTGCTGTCCAGTTGGATCCAACTCATAGCTACCTTTCCTTGGGTTTCTGAGGCAGTATCTCTACAGAAGTAGATTGCCTAATCTCCCTTCCAAGGAGTGGCTGGTGGGTTTGAACAGCCAGCCTTCTGGTTGGCAGTCAGATGCCTTAGGCACTACGCTACCAGAGCTCCCAAAATTATATGTAGATGCATGCAAATTTTATTATAGATCTTTTGTGTGTGTAAATTTTTTTTTAAAATAATATTTGGCTCCTGTTTCTAAAATCCTTTTAAAATTTCATCTCATTCCAAAAACATTAAGTGCCTTCATTATTCTAGCCCTGGTGATAGATGTAGCAGTGAACCTAGCAAAAAGCCCTGCCTCCATGGAGTTTCCGTCCTCGGGGGGAGACTGACCAATAATCCTTGATATTTCAGCGCTGCTGTGTTTAATGACTACTCAGTATTAAGTCTTATAAACTTAACACAATTTATGTCGTCCTTGGTTGGCTTGCATTTAGCTATTTTCTTTCTTTTTTTGCTATTTCAAAAATGCTCTGAGCTTACAGATAAATCTTTAAGCAGATTCACAATTATTTTATTGGGGTAAATTCTTAGAAGTAGAAGTACTGGCTCGAAAATTTGCACGTTTAAGTTAGACCTCAGTCTTACGAAACAATTTCATGTTAAAATAATGTTGTTGTTGTTATGTGCCGTCGAGTCGGACCCGACTCATAGTGACCCCTCCTTGGGTTTCTGAGGCAGTATCACTACGGAAGTAGAGTGCCCCGTCTTCCTTCCAAGGAGTGGCTGGTGGGTTTGAACCTCCAGCCTTCTGGTTAGCAGTCAAGTGCCTTAGGCACTATGCTACCAGAGCTCCTATGTTAAAATATAACTAAAGAAAATGTTAAAAGTAAAATACCCATATCGCCTGAATCCAGCATAAGTATGTTCTCATTTCCCCATGTTCTCTATGTTTGGTATGCTTGTTTACACCTGTTTTTAGGTACAGTTAGTCCCTCACTTATGACGGGATGTTTTGACAACTCCATTGTAAATTGAATCTGACATAAGTTGAATACTTCCTTTTTTTTTTTTTAAAGTTTTTATCATTACTGCCTTTTATTACCAATGTCTTTATAAATTTGCCCTTTATTTGTCTTTGGGAGTTGGAGACATTATGTATAAACTTACAGATGTATTTTAATTTATACATACATACATATTGGGAGCTCTGGTGGCATAATGCCTAAGGCATTTGACTGCTAACCAGAAGGGTGGCGGTTCAAACCCACCAGCCACTCCTCAGAAGGGAGGTTGGTCAGTCTACTTCCGTAGCGATACCACCTCAGAAACCCAAAGAGGGGTCGCTGTGAGTCGGATCTGACTCAACGGCAGTGAGTTTCGTTTTTGGTTTTGATCATACATATACTAACGTTAGATGTAAACCACCGCCCCCCAAAATGGTCATAAGTGTGGTTCATTGTAACTTGAATACCTTGTTAAGTCAGAGACTCCCTGAAGTCACCGCCATTCTGTTTGCACTTTGAAACTTTGGTTTGTAAATCTGTTCCGTGATGCTCTTCAGTATCATCCTCATTGTTTTTAAAGGCGGCTGTTTATTCCGTTGAATTTTGATACATTTTTATTTATGTAGGTTTTCCTTATTAAAGGACTTTTTAGTTACTTCCAATTTTCACTATTATAAATAATGTTACAATGACCATATCTACACACATTTCTTTTTTCTTACTTCAATGATGACATTTCCTTCAGATTCCCAGTAATTACTGATTATTGAGTCAGGGATCCTGATGGAAAATGAGGTCTTCTCCAGAAGATCCTCGTAATGATAAGAATGGATACTTGTTGATTGACTGTTATATAAAAAGGACAGTTTGTTAAGAGCTTTATACGGATGACCTCATTTAAGCCTCACATCAACCCATTTAACAGAAGAGGAAACCAAGGCTCAGAGAGGTAAAGCCACTTGCCCAGGGTCACACAGACAGGGCTCAAACCCAGATCTGGCTATTACTGAAGTTTCCTGCCCTTGACCACTAGGTGACACCAATTTAACCCTTTAGGAGCTCTGGCAGCATAGTGCCTAAGGCGTTTGACTGCTAATCAGAAGGCTGGTGTTTAAACCTATCAGCCACTCCTCAGAAGAAAGGTTGGCCAATCTGTTTCCGTAGTGATAACTGCCTCAGAAACCCAAGGAGGGGTTGCTATGAGTTGGCTCCGACTCAACGGCACTGAGTTTGGTGTTGGTTTGGTTAGGCTCTGATTACCCACTGAGCATTAGCTTCTGACCCAGAGTCTGAGGTCCCAGGAAGCCGGAGGCCCTGGCCTGATGACAGTCATGTACAACTTTAGTGTTCCCAGTACCCACAGTCACCAGTGATGCTGTTCCGTACTCGGCCCCAGGAACGTGAACCCTGCAGGTGTGAGAGCTTGTAGGACTGTACAGAAGGGAAGGCAGTAGGCCAGTCCTCAGGCTGCACTGATGAAGCAGTGGCCCCTGATGAAACAATTGCACCTTCCTGGGTAAGAGGCCTCGGTCCCAGGAGCCCAGAGACTCAGCCATGCTGGGGCTGACTGGGAGGCACTTCGACACCAAGAAGAAGGAAACCGGTTGTTTTCCTTCCTTGTAAGTTTTCCCTTTAATTAAATCAGCTGTTAAACTGTTTTTATAGGTAGTACTGCCCAGTGAGAAGCTTGAAGCTAGGTGCCGGGCTTCTCGATGTGGGCCAGGGAATGGCGACTTCCATGACTTACAGGAGACTCGGCAGTGAGTCATTCAGCTCGCTAGGGGAAGCAGTTGCCCAAGAATGTTTCTTTCTTCTTTTTGTCACTCTTTAGTCATTTTTTTAAGGATCGAGGCAGGGGAGGAGAGGAGTTTTTTTGTTTTTTTTAAGATGTGTGTAGTAGTTAAGAGCATGGGTTTTCCAGTCAGATTGACCTAGTTTTAGATCTGAGCTATACAAACTTGGTCGAATTATTTCACCTCTCTGAGTCCTAGTTTAAGGAGCTCTGGTGGTATAGTGGTTAAAGAGCATGGCTGCTAACTTCAAGGTCAGCGATTCAAACCCACCAGCAGTCTGCTTTGTGAAGATGACAGCCTTGGAAACCCTATGGGACAGTTCTAGTATAGGGTCTGGAGTTCTATAGTACTACAGGTCACCGTGAGTCAGAATGGACTTGACAGCAGTGGGAAAATGCACGTAATGCTAAATGCAGTTTTTGTTTCCCAGTGCTTAGCACGGTGCGCGGCGCACAGTGGTGCTTTCAAAGTGATGGTTGCTTATGCACAATATTCCTATTCCTGTTGCATCTTTTCATGTGAAGGATAATGCAGCGTGAAGGTGCAGGGAGAGAAGGTGCTGTAGGCAGTAGGCCCGACCGGGGGCAGTGATTATTTTGAGGGGAGGGTGTGAGATGGCAGGGCAACCAAGGAGACCTCTGACTTCCTACTTCAGTTCTTCCTGTCAAGTGTGAATGTCTTTTAATGCGCACACATTACTTTCATAAGCAATTGGAAAAGTTTTTAATTTTAAAATTAATGTACAATATTAAAAAAATTTTGGAGGGGAAAAAAACGTATGGCTATCTTAAGAGTTCACGTACCTACATATGGTCATGCACTTGTGACTGTGGTGTTGGAACAGTTTTGTGTGGTAACTTTGTCGCAAGAGTTTTTCTACATTGCTCCAAAGTTATCATAATGGTGCTTCCAGAGCATGTGTCAAGATTTTGACCCTGACTTTCATTGTTGGCTAATTAAGGTCCCACTTTTTTGCTATTACAGATAATGTGTAGTCTATTTTGATACTCCTTTGTAATTGGACATGGGGCTTATTGCCAGTTTTTTGGTGTTACAAGACACATAGAAAGTGTTTTATTGGTTAGTGTGAGACTCTAGGAAAGAATCTTAAGAACTAAAAACCCTAACTTAATGTTGGCAGGTATTTGACTTTGGGTCAGAGCCAGCCCTTTTTGGCCCATTCACAGCTCTTTAGCTTAGACCCAAGGCTGGAAGGGCAGAGGGAGTTCTTATGCTTTGTGGATGTAGATGGAAAGGAAGGGTGTACAGCCTTGGAAAAAGATAGCAGGGCAGCAGGAGAGGTGGGTACCATGTGTCTAAGACCCTCATGTAGGGTGGACTATGTTTGACAGGTACAGGGGGAGCCGCCGGCTTCCCTTCTCACATGCATTTCTTCCACACAGGGCTTTCAAGGATTTGGATTTGGAGATGGTGGCTTCCAGATGTCTTTTGGAATTGGGGCATTTCCCTTTGGGATATTTGCGACAGCATTTAACATAAATGATGGGCGACCTCCTCCAGGTAGGACTCTTCCCTTCTAGACTGTATCTTGTAATCCTACCTGAAGACTCTTGTGGTTTGGCCTTATATAAATTACGGATGATTGTTACTGCACGGATAATCAGGCTTTCAGATGTCCTAAACTCCTTTCAGTTGCTGGTGGTTGTGCCAGTGAGTGGGCACTATGCAGAGTCCTTTCCGTTACAAACTCTGGGTCCTCACGGCACCTCGGAGGGACATTTGTGCGATCAGCTTCATTTTACATTAAAAAAGCGCTCGGTCGTGTTTGCCGAGATGTGCTCCACGTCCGTACAACGGAAAATGGTAAATGATAGCCCGCCAAGAAACAGTGTAGTCCTCACTTCTCTACACTTTGACCGTTGGGGTGGGGAGGGGCGAGGTGACCTGTAAAGAGTCAAGGCCTCTGTTCTCTGGCATCTCTGGCAGCTTCCCACAGGACTACAGCACGGGCTGGTTCCAAGCATCAGCCCTTTGGGAACCCTGTCTAGGTGTGGCACCTGTTGCTCAGTTTCTCCCTCCAGCTGGCTTGAGTGTGCCAGCTGCATAGATGTAGAGCGGGGTGGTGAGGCAGCGCCCTGTGCTCCGTCACAGTCTGACTCCCAGGCCAGATCCTTCCCGAGGAACCTGCACGGGTGTCACGGTCGAGTGAGCTCTGCTCAAAGTCAGTAGAGCTCGTGTGTTCTGAGCACAGTGCAGGACACATGTGACCACTGTGTGGCTCCTGGCCTCAGGAGCTTGTGATTTCAAGGTAGTAATCCACTCCTGGGTCATCCTAAGACGGGAAACTACTTGTGGGTCATTCCAGTCGTTCCCTGCCCCACCCTAGTACTGTGGTGACATAGCAAGCAATTGCTGCATCTTTGTGACTGACTGCATGAATCCATCAGTGCCCTCAGTGGTCTAGTACAGCACCAAACAACCTTGGCAGTGCCCTTCTTCACCTCCCCATCCTGCAAAGTTTCTGCTTGGTTCACAGGTAGTTTCCTCAGAGGAAGGAGACCCCAAAAGCCAGGGCATGCTCTGTTCCGAGGGAGGAACAGAACCATATAGGCAGCAGGAACCTGCCTGGTAGCTTGCTTCCCTCGAACCTGAGTTCCCCAATTAAACAGAGCTTCACAGCCAGGCTGGAGTCTGGGTCATGTCCCCTGACAACAGTCACAGAGTTTTCTCCTATTGTGTTTGGTGCAGTTTCCCCACCTTCAATGTAGCTTCTCTTACCTTCCTCCCTGCAAAGTCAGGACAGGGATCTCTAAATGATAGCTGTTCTCAAGGGAGTGGAGACCCAGGTTACTGCCCCAGTTCTGCCCCTAGCTTGCTGTGTGATGGGAGAGGCAGGTCACTTTGCCTGTCTGGGCCTCGATTCTCTCCTCTGGGAAAGGCAGGTGCTCCTTGTGGGGCTCTCTGAGCCTCCCTGGCTCAACAGTGCCAAAGCTAGTGACTCCATGACTCGGGAGGCCACTTGGGAAGAAGTGTTGACTGAGAGCTGAGAGCACAGCTGTGGGGCTCCGCTGCTCCGTCAGGAACCTTGTGATCACCTCGTACCCCTGTGCTTCAGTTTCTTCCTGTGCACAGTGGGAGTAGTCCCACCCATCAAGTAGCAGTGTGTACAGAGCATAGCACACAGAGGTGCTTAGCAGACAGTTTCTTTTCTCTTAAGACTTTGTCTTAGCACTTCTTGTTGGTCAGCTTGCATTTGCATGCGAAATCTTTGTAGGATGAATTTTTACATTCTGCACATTGTTGTTTTGCCTGATACATTTGGGGCTAGGAAGTTTTTCAGTCTTCAGGATTCTGTGGTAAAGAGGTGAATGTCAATGCTGTTGGCTCCTGGCCTGGAGTGGGGTGTACAGCTGGAGCATTCTGACAGCCCCTTTTCTCCCTCCTTTCTCTCCAGCTGTCCCTGGGACGCCCCAGTATGTGGACGAGCAGTTCCTGTCACGCCTCTTCCTGTTTGTGGCCCTGGTGATCATGTTCTGGCTCCTGATCGCCTAATGCTGCGCCCCCAGCCTGTGTCCGTGGCAGGGCCTCTGGACTGGTGACACGTCATCCCCACTCTTGGTGTTTGGCTCCCTGGCTAACCCTGACCCCTGGAATCAGTGGGGCCAGCAACACCTCAAGGAGTCTTGCTTCTCCATCAAAGCTTTGGGACTCAGGAACAATTGGTGAGGACCCCTGAGTATGGCCACTATCATGACACCCTACTATAATCTCAGGCCTTGACGTTGGTCTCCTCTCACGGGTGACACCCTGAAATCCTGTGCCAGCCAGCTCAGCGGGTCCTGACTCTGCACAGAAATGAGATGGCAAAAGAGAAACTGCCGGAGTGTAATCTCACCTGGGTCTAACAGTACAGAGGGACAAACCAGATGGTATTTACAGAAACTGTCTTTCATCTCTTTAAATACCCCTCGGTAAGCGTCTCGGAAGCCAGTGGGGCTCCTCGAGCTCTCTAGCTCCCCTTCCAGATCCCAGGCCTGCTCTGCCCTCTACCCTCCTCCCCAGCAGAGCAGCGAGAAATTATGTCCCATAAACATCATGATTGCGGAGCCAGACCTGGAGTATGTCCCATCGCTTCATGAATTCACGAGAGAGTCAAAGAGCTTTATTGGCTCTGGCCCTGGCACTCAGTGGCTTTGGCCCCAGAGAGCAGCTTGAACGGCTGGCCTCCTAGTTCCTGGCATAGATTATATCCATAAGACATGCAGCTGCACTCACAGGTTTCCAGCAGCTTTCTCCAAAAAACTCTGCACGTCTGCCCCTCTGCCAGTGGGCACAGAGCTTAGGCCACTGCCGAGGCTGGGGCTGACTGCTGGGCAGAGAGAGCTGGGCGGAGACTGCAGTGGGAGCCGGTGCAGCGGAACCAGCACAGGGGCAACAGAACCAGCAGCCGCCCACGGACGCTGGGGCTCTGTTCAGTGGGCCCAGCTGCCTGTTGAAGATCATACTCCTTAGAAGCTCTTGAGGAAGAGGCAGGGGGGGAGAGAGCCACTAGGAGCCAGATTGTGGAACGGCTTGATGGATTCCCCCAGCAAACTCCTTGGAAACCATGTGACCCCAGAGCAGGCAACCCAGAGGATTGCTGAAGCCGGGCAGTGAGGCCGGGGGTCCTTCAGTGGTGATGTGATGTGCTCTTCCTTCCTTTGCAGTCCAGAGGATATTCTTCTTCTCAAGCCCTTGAATTGCTTTCAATATTACAGGCTGCTTCCTCCACCCGACTGAGGGCATGTGGCGTCAGGCCCGGAGGACCCTTCACTTGGAGGAACAGCTCTTGCGCTGCCTGCCAGGCCTCCTCCTGAAAAGCCAGTCTCTTCCTGGCGCTCCCAAGGGTGGGAGGATGGACTTCCTTTGGGGGCATCGCCCTCTCTGTGCCTGTCCAAGCCGTACCTGCCAGCAATAGCCAAAAAGTGGCAGAAAGCCTCACGTAGTGCTTTTTCCCTGGGTGGCTCTGCATAATGCAGGGAAACCAAGACCTGGAAGAAGCTGAGGGAAGCTCCGCTCCCCTTTCCACAGTCCCCATCCTTCCCCCATGCACCTGTCAACACCAGAGTTCAGTGTTTAAACAGACAAAATACAAGTATTGAGTCAGTGGTTTGATCTCTGAATCCATTCTGTAGAAATAAGCCACCAGCTTTACTGTGCACCTGACAGATTGTAAACATTCTTAAGGCACCCACTCTAGTGCCCTTTTTTTATCATTTTCAGAAATCCCTAAAGTCAGAGGAGTGTTTCTCAGTTCCAGAAAGGGGGTTGATGGGCTCCACCGGGTGGTGGGAGAGCGGGCTTCAGTCATGTGGGCCTAACAGCAATGGGTTTCCTGAGAAAGGTAAAGTGGGTAGGGAAGAAGAACCATTTGGACTCTTGATGGAAATGGAATGAACCCAGAAGAGCTCCACAAGCAAAGCCATCCTGGGAACCTGTTAGCCACACCAGGTTAGCCACGTGTGCTTTGAATTCGAACCTTACGGTTCCCTGCACCCCCTTCACCAGGGGTTGGAGCAGGGAACCGACTTGGGACTGCTGGCCCAGCCCCAGTGCGGAGCCCCCTTCCTGCCACCCTGCAGCTCACCACCTTGCCCTTTTGCCAAGGCAGTTTTCCTTTTGTGTGTGTTCTCTGTGTACACAGCCTCCATCCCACCCCACTCCTCACCACCCTGTGGGCTAGTCAGACAATGACACTATGTACGGTGGCACACCTTAACCAGTCACTGATTTTCACTGTTGTGAAAGTGGTTTGATATAGAATTAAACAAATGGTTTTCTATTACTGTGAGCTGTGGGCTTCTTTTCTGTGGTGTGGGAGGTGGGGGTGGTCTGGCCTCTGGGAAGCACCTGGGAGTTCTTGGTGATGCCCCACTGAGAATGAAAGCCTAAGAAGGCTGTGGTCATTAAAGATGAGAAGTGTGGGCTGGAGCCTGGCCGTGTGCAAGCCCTACCCAAGGTGTAAGGCTTCAAACCGGTCCGGACCAGTTCGTTCATGGCTGACAAAGTGATTTAGGTGAAAGTTTACAGAGCAAGTTCATTTTCCATACAGCAGTTCATACACGTTTTGTGTTGTGACATTGACTGCAATCCCCACAATATAACAGCTCTCTTGCCACTTCCTCCCTGTAGTTACATCTTCTGTGTGCTGTGTCCTTTTCTATGCACTCTTGTGCATCTGCTGCCCCCGCCCCCCGCTATCTCCCTGTGCAACTACTGGCCTTCTCATTGATCATTCTAAGGACTGTACCTACCTAGTGTAAATGTTCACCCTATATGCCTGTCTATTCGGCTGGAAGCCGTGGAAATGAGTTCAATTCCAGGCCTGAAGCCTAACTAGGGGCCATGGTCTCAGGGGGTTCACCAGCTTCTATCAGACCAGTAAGCCTGGTCTTTTTTGTGATTTTGAGTTTTGTTCCACATTGTTTTCCCACTCTCTCCATGATCTCCTGGGGTGATCCCTTCCGAGTGGTTGACAGTGGTAGATGGGCAACGTCTAGTTCTTCTGGTGTTGGGATCAAGTAAGCTGAGATTCACGTCATCCACTCGTACCTTGGACTAATTGTTTCCATGCATCTTTGGTTTTCTTCATTCTTCTAAGCTCCAGATGAGGAGAAGCCAGTTGCTGCATCTAAATGGCTGTTTGCAAGCTTTTTAAGACCCCAGTCACTACTCACCAGAGTAAGATGTGAACAGACAAGAGTTTTTAAAATGTGAGTGAATCTGAACACTAATTGGAATGGGAAAAACTATGGATCAAAGCTCTGTTAGAAACTTAACTTCCTCTTAGAAAACAAAGGCTGTATACATGTTGCATAGCAACCAAATCTCTTGACCCAGTGAGTTGGAATTTAAAATGATGTTTGCTCAAAGATGGCAGCCAGCTGCACTGCTTTGAATGTGAGTTGCTCTTCACAGCCCTGGCAGTGATCCAGTGGTGCTCATCGGGCTTCTGAAAGCGCTAACTACGCCTCTTCCAATTCTCCCAGGGCTTCAACCCATAATTTTTCCCATTGTGGTTAGCATTCCAGATCACCCAAATTTTTAAACTTCAGATCTTTCCATGACTCAGCCAGTTCAAAGCCCTGCCAAGGTGTATAGCCTGACAGGCAACCCCAGTTCTGACGAGTGCATGGAATTCCTAAACTTGGAAGCAACAAGCTTCCAAGATGGAGCTTAGCACAGCAACAAGCTTCCAAGATGGAACTTAGCTTGTAATCAGAGCCTTGAGGACAGTTGTAGGTTATTCAATGTCAACGTCTTGTGTTTAGTGGCAGGACAGGTGGATCCTAGCCAAGCCCTTCCCATAGAGCAGGGGGCGTGCCCCTCAAGGAGGTTCCTCATAGTGGGGTATGGTGCAAGATGGAGAGCCTTGGTGGCCTTAGAAACCTGATCCAGCCTTGGTCTCCCCTATGCCAGAGACAGGAGTCATTCCACTGAAAGGCACTTTTGTCTCCCTCTTGGACTTTGACCTAACAGTTGACTGGAATCAAGGTATAGTATAGGGAATGCAAAGATAAGGAGGCAGCCTGTATCCTTGGGGAACTCAGAAGCCGATTAATAAGGGAACTAATAAAACACATAGAACTAATAAAACATACATAGAGGTCCAGTCATTCAGCCCAGTAGCCATCAACTCCCATCTAGTCTTACTTCATCTCCACCACCCCAATGCTGCTCCCTCTCCCCCTACTCTGGATATTTTGAAGCAAATCCCAATAATACATCTTTTATAAGTATCTCAGTATGAATCTCTAGGATTTTTTTTTTATATACAACAACCAAAATAATGTTTTCTATATCTTAAGAATTAACAATAGCAAGATTTCCGGTAAGATGGAGGAATAGGCAGACAAGTGACACAGACCCTCTTCAACAAAGAAAAGAGAAACCAATTGACAGAGATACAGAAGATAATCCTGGAGCCCTGAGCTTTGAAAGGAACTATACAGAAGTGGATTAAGCACCAACTAGTGGAAAAACCTGAACAAAAACAGTGAGTACAGAGACAGTCGGAGCTGCGGACTGTCAGCTACTCTGACGGGACCAACAGCCTGAATATTTCCAACCAAGTGGTGTTGGGATCTGAGAATTGACCTAAAGATCAGCCCTGGTCACCACTGGCTGCAGGGATGACTGTGTTGGTGGCCTGTGACTAGGAAGGGAAACGGCAGGGAGGGAAACAACCTGAGCTGTTGACTTTCCACTGTCTGGAGGGCACAGCCATTTTGATTGTTTACACGCAGCAGCCATTTTGGATATTTAAAGCGACCAAGGGTGCAGCCATTTTGAATGTTTACAAGTGGGGGCCATTTTGGGTATTTAAAGTCACCAAGGGTGCAGCCGTTTTGAATCTGTACAAGTGGCAACCATTTTGGATTTTAAAGTGACAGCATTCTCATTTGGATTCCAGGGACCTATGAATAGGCTCTGTTTGCGAAGGT